CTCCACCCCTCCCCCTCATCCAACAAAAAAAAAAAACCAAAAAAAGCAAAACAACCCCCCTCACATCCCACCTACTCAGTCTTGTTATCCTCCCCCTTCCCTTCCCAACTCCACCCAAGCATGACCACCTCCCCCACCCTTCTCCTACCCGCCTCACCCTATTCCTCGTCCCCTTACCTCCACCCCCCAACCCCTCCACCCACCTTCCCCTGTCATTCCACCCTCCCCCCTTCTCCCCTATTCCTCCCCCTTCCTCCAACCCCTCCCACCCCCTCCCTCCCTTTCCCCCTCCCTATTCCTCTCCCCTCCCTCCCTCCCTCCCTCCCCTTCCTCCTCCCCTCCACCACCCCTCCCAACCCTCCCCCTATTCCTCTCCCCTTCCTCCACCTCTCCCCACCTCTCCCTCCTTTCTCCCCCCTCTCCTCCCCCCTTCTCACCCTCCCAACCTCCCCCACCCCTCCCTCCACCCCTCCTAACCGATCCCTCTCGCCCTCCAGGAAGTCCCATCGGCGAGGCCAAGGTGGGAGACGGTGGAGGGCGAGGTCGGCTACAGCGTGTTCCTGGAGGCGCTGCTGCAGGACCGATCCCTGCGCCAGGAGACCGTCTTCGAGTGTGTGCTGTCCATCCCCGACACCGAGTACCAAGTGCGAAGGAAGATCATCTACTTCCCCGGTACGTTGGGACCTCTTTTCCTGTCCCTCCCTCCCTCCCCCGTCCTCTTTCTTTCTTTCCTCCTTCCCTCTTTCTCTCCCTCGCCTTCTCTTTTCTCCTCCTCCCCTCCCTCCCCCCCTCCTCCCTCTCTATGTCCTTCCCTCCGTCCTCTTTCTTCCTCCTTCCCTCTTTCCCTCTCTCCCTCTTTCTACCTCTTCCCTCCCTCTCTCCTCCCTTCGTCCCTCTTTCTACCTCTTCCTCCTTCCCTTCTCTCTCCTTCTCCTTCCCTTCTTCTACCTCCTTCCCTCCTTCCTTCCCTCTCCTCTCTCTCCCTCTTTCTACCTTCCTTCCCTCCTTCCTTCCCTCCCTTACCTTCTCCTTCCCTCTTTCTACCTCTCTTCCCTCCTTTCCTTCCCTCTCCTTCTCTCTCCCTCTTCTACCTCTTCCCTTCCCTCCCTCCCTTCCTTCTTTCTTACCTCTTTCCTCTGTTTGGATCTTTGTCTTCTTTGTTTTCTTTGATATTTCTCTTCGTCTCTTTATCTGACCGTCCAACTTCTCTTTCTCTCGGTCTGTCTTTCATTCTCTTTAACTGGCTATCTATCTATATTCTCTCTATCTGTATCTTTGTCGCTATCTGTCTGCCTGTCTCCATTTATCTGTCTGTATGCCATCTCTCCAGCTCTCCACTCTCTTCTCTCATCTCTTTTCTTTCTTTCCTCTTATTCTCTCCCCCTCTTTCCCCCCCCTCTCTCCCCCCGTCTCCCCCCCCTCTCTCTCTCTCTTCTCTCTCTCTCTCTGTTCCCTCTCTCTCTCTGTTCCCTCTCTCTCTCTGTCTCTCTCTCTCTCTCTCTCTCCTCTCTCTCTCTCTCTCTGTCTCTCTCTCTCTCTCTCTCTCGTCGTCGTTACCATATCCCCCCAAAACCCTCTGGAATAGATTAGAGAATAGCTTAGCATCAGCAATAGAGTTTAGCATAATACCTGGACTCAGTGCATCATCAGCTCGCTCACAGTCAGCATAGATCAGCGGAGAGCATATGATCGAGAAATACAGAGGATGTCTGTATTAATTGGGCTTCTGAAGGGAAAAAAAAAGCTTCAGTGCCTGGGAACTGAAGGCTGAAGTGTTGCCTTGTCTTTTATTAGAATGAAATATAGTTTAAACAAAGTTGATGATGATGATAAGGGTAGTAGGATGATGAATGCTTAGGAAATGAGTAAATAAAAGTAAAAGATCATTTGATAATTTGTTTGTATGGGAATTTATGTTAATATATATATATATATATATATATATATATATATATATATATATATATATATATATATATATATATATATATATATATATGATGTTATGTATGTATGTATGTATGTATGTATGTATGTATGTATGTATATGAGTAGATAGATTGATAGATAGATATAGCTACTGATATAGATATATAGATGTAAATGATGATAATGATGGTGATAATATTATTAGAACAACAAGAAGAAGAATGATTAATAAAAAGAAAAGGATAATAGTACTGATGATAATAGTAATACTGATAATGGTAATAATAAAAATGAAAAATGACAAATAATAAATTAATGGACCAATTTTGATGAATAGTAATATGACAATTTTGATAATAATGATTTAATTGATTGATTAATGATAATTTTAATAATGATAATAAAGATGATGATAGTAAATTGATAATGATAATAATAATACGGACTAGGAGAAAGAATAGGAATAACAATAATAATGGCAATAACGACAATAATGATAGTAATTTGAATGGTTCAGCGAGGAGCAATTTCCATATTAGGAGTCGGTGGCCTTTTATCCAATTTGCATATT